TTTGGCACAATCTGTCTAAGGAGCTACCATGGAATGAGTTACTGACCCATGTTCAGACAGTTTTCATCTGACAAACACTTAACATATTATAAAGGAAACAGTTTTAAGGGTGAACTGCAAACAGGTAGTTATTTAACTATTTTGTGTTGCAGTGCAGTTTGTTGGTCTTAAATTCTGAAAAGAAATTCAGAATATCTATGAGCTTAAACATTCACAAATTAAGTGCCAAATAATTGAAAGTAAAAAAAAACATTACTCCCAAGTATTTTGTCCCTCTATGTTACAGCATTTCAGACAATGCATGCTTGTAAGCTATTTAAATGATTTATTTAATCATTCATAGACAATTAGAATCATAATATTAATCTTGGAATCATAGTAAATGGTGATTGTTTTTGGATAAAACATACTATGGATAACAGTTATCAGCTGGAACCTTCATATGTAAATTCATTTCTTTCAGCTTTTAGTGTGATGTTGTGGGGCAAGAAAATCTGAATAAAAAGGTAATCTCAATGAACATAAATATCATTGACGTGCAATAATTGTTTACAGGAGCATTTCCAGTCTTGTGTTCCATTGTTTCAGTGACGTCACAGTGTGGCACTAATGCATCAATGGTAAAGGCTAACCTTCCTGCTCTCTCCAATGTGCCTGAGGGCTCTGTTAATAAACCCTGTAGGCTTAAAAGCAGCTCAGAGTTGTGTAACATGGAAGTGATGTCATTGCAGGTACACTTTAATGTTTTTCTCAATCTCTTTTACTTCCAAATGTCACAAACAAGAACACATTCTATAAAATGGTACACCATTTTTTTTTAATGAGCTATGCAATTAATTCCACAAATTCATTCTGTCCTCACAAAACTGCATTAAACACCAAGCCTAACGCATTCCTAACTGATAATGATTTAAGTAATGTCTCATGTACTGACTTTTTAACAAAACATTAAATCCAAAGCAAATAAGTTATATTAGCATAGCAAAACTGGAAAGGTAACTTGTGTAACAGAAAAGTAAAGGTAGTTTATACAGTATATCAACTAAAGATACCACAAAGCAGAAAAGTGTTGCAATTGAAATGTTACATTTTATCTGAAATAATAGCATATCTAAATGTATTTCTTATCCGTTTGTCATGCTAATTTTGTTTTCTTCAATGTTATGTTTTGATTTTTGTGAGAATGTCAGTGATCACCTCCTTGGGCAACTTGTTACAACATTCTGCAGCAGTTAAGAACTGTTAGGCCCGCAGCACCTCCTATCACAATCTAACACACATTTCTGGTAATATTTCTTCATCCTCCAAGTCAGAAGAGGACAGTTTTAATGCACAGTAAAAGCACTGTACAATGACAGACAATCAAAATGTAATACAATTTAATACAGTTGACTTTTGTATTACCAGGTGATCTGTTTTTTTTCCACCTTCCAGCTACTGTATTTTAGTTTCTGTTGAATTATTTGAATTATGCTTCACTGTTGCTTTCAATGGACATATGTTCATCTAGAGTACAGTCTTTGTATATTCAGTGACTTTATACTGTATGTGTAACTAAGATGCTGAGAGTTTACACATTTCAACAGTACATAGTAAGACCTATAATAGAAAACATTAAAAAAAACATTTGAAAACATTTTACTAAAGAGATCTTGATGTTTGTTAATGCGCAAATTTCCTTTTGTGAACCCTTTCTATACCACCATTCAACTGCATCACTATTTATCACTTAAAAGTGAAATCATTTGTAAGCTATAACTATCATGAAATAACACTAACCCATTAAAACATTCTAAGACTCCCCATGGTCTTTTTTCTAACATACATCCTTATTTCAAATTATAAACGTTTGACTAATCCAGGAATTTGCATGTTCACAGACTGGTTTAAAAACTTCAATTCGTGTTGCTGCAGTCAGTTACCAGGCCTTCTTGATGCACGTTTAGAAACTGGCATTTCATGTGACCTGCTTGTCCATCTATTTATTCTATTTATCACTTTTTCCGTACCCCCAAAGTGGTTCAGAAGAATTAGATTGAGATTCCTGGTTCTCTTACCCAAAACGTAATAGCATAATCCTTGAAGGGGTATCACATTAAAAAAAGAAAAGCCAAGGACTAGTAATAGTCCAGACAATTAACTTTTGTCCATAAGAGGGCAGACCTGCCAGTGTTCTTATGGCTCTTTAACACTACTCCTGACTAGTGACCAGATCACTAAACAAAGGATAAACTTTGAATAAACCTGAGACTTCCAGAACGTTGGAATTTACTGTAGCAGACACAATCTACTACTACATAATGTCTCAGTGGGCATTTTAGCATGAGAAGGGAAACTAAATAACTCTTGTGGCACATTGAAAAATGACTTGAAGAATGATTTTATCTATTGAGTTTTAACATCTTTCAGAAAAGACATCACGTTCGATACGTATGAAATAAATAAATAAATGCAGGTGCTATTAGTTTCTTTGTGAGCAATACAAGACTGTGCACAAGACATAATATTTCTCTAAAGGTTTTGCAAAGTATTATCTGTATAGGTTCTACAGTATGTAGGAAACTTAACCCTGCATTTACTTTGTTGGCCAAAGAAAGTCTACCGCCACTAACCACCTGTCTCGCTATTGTTTTACCCAGTATCAAAAAGCACAGTGCTTCCTAGTCACAAGGAACACAAAGTTAGACAATGGCTGAGAACAACCCCATCACTAAATGTACTGAAAGGAAGAAAACTCTGTGCTAAAATATTTAACATTTTGCCATTTTAACAGCAATGCAAAAACTAGTTTGGATCATGGGCTAAAGATGTTGAGCTAATTCCTTATTTAGATTGAAAAACATGTTAAAATGCACTGAACAGAGAAATATTATCTGCTCATTTACTTCAGCTTTCATTGAACATTGATATCATGGGCATGAAAAAGCAGTGTAGTCCAATAATTATCACTAAGCTGGTTTTCATAGAGATAGAAACCTGAACCTTACAACATTCCAGTTTGCTCACATTAATTTTGCAAATATGCTACTGAATTTCTTGTGACTGTATTGCTTTCAGATCTGACCGGATACGCCCACAAACCTTGCTCATTTTAATAGCAAGCCTTCAGCAGCAGACGTTTTGAGAAACACAGTTAACAGTTTATAAAAATAACAGATAACGTTATGGTTTGCTTGTGATCCACTCAATTGTAAATCAGTTGGTTTTATAAACATGCTTTTACTCCTTACACTTCACCACTGTCAGCTAAGGTTTATTCCCAAAAATGCAAGGTATGGAAGAAAGAAATAAGGTTCTAAAGATCGAGAGAGGAGAAGAAATTGAATATATTGACATTATGCTTATGCTGTTTTTTGAAGGAGACACTGTTTTCAAACCATTTCTCAATTAAATAATGTCTCGCATACTGGTGTCCACCAAACAACTTTTGTTATATTAAATGCTTATGCTTAATATATTTACACACCTCACAAATAATTTATTACTTAGTATAAAAGCAAAGCATACTGGGGTACTGTGTTTTTGGCAGGGGTATTTTCAGCTGCCAGATGAATTACCATCACATGTAAGAAAGTGTACCAATCATAAAATCGACATTGTAACTGTACTTATTTATCTGACATTTAACGATAGAATAGCTATTAAATAATAACAAGTACATAACTATAGGGTGTGTACAAATACGGATTATAGTGTCCTGTTGCATATGAATTACAGCATACTGAGTGTCCAATAAAAAGCATAAAACCCACAGAATGTATGTTCATAAAACTAGGATACATAATAACATGAGATGTGTTAAAGGTTTTCCCTTCTCCCCACATGCTAACAAAGCATGTGACACAAAATCACAATATATAACTACAATGTAGAAAAAAATGTATTTGCAACCTATGCTTTTACCCTAACTACACAGCATACCAATATGAATACATCAGCAAGATACTACTCACAGAATTACAGAATACGGTGCCATTTACAATTCCCATCAAAGCATAAAATATCTAAAAAAAAACAACTCACAGTGACCCTGTTAATACACGTAAATTTTAATTAAAAGTCTTATTCGTTTTAACTTCACAAGTGTAAAGACTTGGCCGGGCTCATCTATGGACAACGCTAAGAAATTGGATTTTTTTTCTAATTGAGTTTTACACCCTTATTCAATTTGTCATAAAACATTAAATCGCAGGAATAGGCAGGGATAACCGAAAGAATTCAGCTCCACCTTAAAGGAAAGTGGACAGCGCCGTGGTACTGAAAGGTTCACAGCGAGAGAGATGCAGGGGAGAAACAGTTCTGTGGTTTCGTTACAACAGCAAAGCCTACACACTGGGAAATATAGATGATGTAGAAGTACACACAGTTATTCTGTGAAGTTTAAAATAGTGATGTCAGCAGCGGTAGATTCGCTTGAGACTACACGTTGGGTTGTCTACGTTAAAAGGGAGTTGATGGGAATTTTTTTTGCGAAGATGGCGGCCGTTGCTAACCCAACCCAAAGCCAACAGAGTGAAAAGTAGGCCCATGGTATAGATACTAACTAGAAAATGTCTTATATTAGCAGGAAAATACAACAGTATCCCCCTCTCTTAATAAAACCAGGACACGTGAAAGAAATTCCACACAATACTGTGCTTGGATAAGATGCGAATCTCTTTTATAAATTTGGTTCCATCCTCACTATTTTGTTCAGACATTAAAACCTACAATAAATCTGTCGGCAGTGTACTTATACGCGTCTGCATCCATATTGGATTTCAGTGGACAGGAGTGCAGTTACACTCCCCATTCATTGCTAGAAAAAAAAAACAAATGGTTAAGAAAACGCATAATTTAATTTTAATGGTCACCAGACAACTGCGCGACCCCTCGCTGCGGTTTGAACAGCTTGCAAGAGGGGTTTAGCCTGTACAAGGTTTTTATGTGCCACCACATTGACCGTCCCTCCTCTCCTTTAACTCCTTTGCTTCACAACTGTTAACATCTAAATGACTTACTTTAACATGGACTGTTCCTTTTCCTCTTCTTGTTTCTGTCGGTCCATTACAGCGAGGATGATCTTTCTCTCCTCTTCCGTGAGGTGGCTGAGGTCCGGCATCTCCGGTACAACAGGAGCCGCAGGGGGAGCGGTTGGCCCGCCCCGGGGCCCAAGTGGAGCAGACATCTTTAGATATAATTGCTAAAAGATCAACAACCAGCAATAGAATATACTTAATTTAATTGGAAGTAATTGCTAATGCCAAAAAAAAATTAAAGTACCAGCTTCCACATTCTCGGTTATCGCACTGGTCTAAGGACGAATAGAGCATTTAAAGACCCTGATACTATGAAGCGGATATCGTAGTATTTTATTTACATGTATAGGTGTAAATGTATGTGTGTTTGCATTATTAACAGCGGCAAAAAAAAGGACAACGTGACGGGGACCCCGGACGTCTGGTGTGCAATACTCAGTAATAATTTAAAAAAGAGAGAGAATGAGAAAAGCTAAAAAAAAATATCCGTGCCTTTGAAAGGTGAAGGAGATCAAATAATTTGCCAAAAAAATCCTAAGGGTCACATCGATAGTGTACGGGAGAAGACATCTCTTGCCATCACCGGCCAGCGTGAGGAAACAGCCAAAAAGCCAGATGGATCTCAGGAGTCTCACAATGGGTTTTCAGAGCACACCGGAATCCTGCTTTAGAGGCTATAAAAGGGAGGAGGACGCGAATAAAATGCCCATCTGAGTCGTATAAAAACCGGCTGCGAGTATTCCAAACATACTTCTCACTCTCCGTCCATTGATGCATATGCAGCGGAATATAAAATATGCTCTTGCCTTTTTTTATTTATTTTGCAATCATGTCAAATCCTTTCTAACCCATTGCTTTCATCTTTCAGAGGGAGCTGTTTTGCCTCCTGAAATAAAGGTTGTCTTGTCCCCCCTTTTTGTTTTTTCCTCTCGCTCTCTCAGACGTCCTTCTTGTTTTCTCTTTTATATCTTGTTCTCCTGCCGGTTCTTAATTCTTGGTGATTTCTTAAATGCACAAAAATGGATGCAATGGAAAAAAAAAATCCCGATAGGAAGGCTAGGCGGAGCATTAGAACTACGTAGAACAAAGCTGAGCGATGACCGAGGTGGGGAGCGGAAGAGAGGAGCCCAGGCTGGTTCATTGACAGCAGGCAGCGTGATCACACCGAAAACGCGGGCTGGATAATTGCATGGAACGGGAACCGAGTCAATCGGAACACTTTCGCGCTCTCCAAAAAAAACATTCGATTAATGAAATTGACAATGAAGGATCCCGTACATTACTAGATCAGACTGATTAAATTAGTTTGAGCCTTTCTGGCATTTTTGTGTTGGAGGAAAAAAAAAAAACTTCAGATACACACTGGGTCAGCAAAAGCCATGCATTTTCTCCCATCTCCTGGATCACGCTTTAAAGTTAAATCAGTGGTTGAGGCCACTTTCGCTAATGGAGCATTCTGATCATAGAGCGAAAACCGTAGCTTGACACTGAGCATGTGTAGTATTGAGCTTCAACTAATCACTTTATAGATTGAATTAAAAATGCTAAATCGTTGTCTCACGGAATAAATTGAGGAGGGACCTGTTACCTGACGTTTATCTTTCTGGGACTGGATTTCTAGTAGTATTTTCTCAGCTGTCGTGATATTGTGTATGCATGTTTTCTGGAGTTTGTCAGAAACTGCGTTTTGGCTGCAAATTAAAGGTGGGGTTAAATGTAATTTTGATTAACAGCCTGCTTTTAATTGTAAAAATTCAAACATCTCAGCAATGCTTGGAAAACATTTTCTTTCAAAATATTATTTTTTTCTTTTAATTGCCCAAATAAATCGGTTTCAGGTAGTGATGACAAGATCTACTCCCCGTTTATCATTGCTTGATTTTACCTAGTATAATACTCAATGCAGTACTATTACAAAAAAAAACAAATATACCAACGACATATGGTATAGCAATAAAACATTCGTTAAAATCACTTTTGCTATATTTCAGTATTCTCTTCCACTAGTAGCCTATATACAGTATTCATCATTTTCGTCTTCATCATCGGCATAGTTATCATAATCATATAATTGTGATTTCTTCATTAGGCAAGATACTACATATCTTGGAGTTAGTTTTCTCAAGTACATTTGTAAATTGAAAAGTTATTTATTTGGGGTGAAGTTTATTACATATTATTTTGATACTATGTCGGCACATATGTGAATGTTTTCGTATATTGTGACGTTCTCGTTAAATTCTGTAAGTATGGGATCGTTTGGCACGAAAAGAGACTTGAAGGAATGGATTTGAGAGAAAGACAAATTAGTGATTAGTGAAATTAGTGATCTCACAGAAGGCGGTCACATGTTTCATACAACTTCATACAATGAGATTGGCATTTCGTTCTTAGACCAAAGTCTTACAAAGATAAATATCTGATTTATACACTTATGATCTTCAGTCGCACAACTCCTGACGCTATACAAGAATATTTTAGAATGTTCTTAATAATTTATCATACTTTTTGGATAAGTTTTGAGACAGTTCTCTCACGGGACGAAAAAACACTCCGAAGAAATGCTTTGAAAATTATTAAAAACACAAATAGCTTTTTTTTTCTTTTTTTCAGACCGCTTTACCACCGAGAGATATTTTTAACACAATTTACTTGTTTAAATATATTTGCTTGAAGGGAGTTTGGTAGTTCTTTTGTTAAATATATTTTGTCGCGACAACTAATTATTAAAGTTAATAAACACCATTGAAGTTGCATAAATAATGTTTAATAAACGTTTATAATATTGAAATTAATTTAATTGAGAAAATGTTATTCAAACAAAAAGATTGCGCTTTTAGTCGGGTTTACAGTTAATATCTTTCCGTTTAAGAGCATTTTCTATGCTCTCTGCATTGAATTTATGTTTTCTGAATTAAACGCATCCAAACTGATTGTCTTATTTATTTTTTGTGTACAACAGTTATTTTGTGTATAATTAAAAAAAACAAATTTCTAAACTTTTACAGGACTAAAACTGATCAAGGACGTCTATATTTTTGGTGCCACTGAATTCACTTTGAACAATTCACTAAGAAAATTGATCAGGATAATTTGGTAGAAAGGTCTGTCAAAAAAGCAGAAAGATTGTCTATGTGGTGTGCTAAAAGCGGGAGTTTGGCAATCCATACGGTTAATTTACAGGGTGTACTATTTGCGAGTTATTTTTAATGATACAGTCAAGTTGTAGCATACTCTTTTTGTGGAGCCTGCGAAGGCTGTACTGTAGTAAGAAACGTGTTCAACTGGGGTTGTGGTGAATGAATTAAAAAAAAAAACCCATCGGCTTTCAGTTACGGCATTTGTTGTATTTATTTGCAAATTACTAAACGGCAATTATGTAAAGCTGACATTTCGAAAGTTCAAATTTGTTTTCTCATTTTAAGATTTCTCGACTATAAAAGAACTACTCGCCCATTCCCTTCCTCTTGATTTAACGCAAAGGGACAAGTAAGAGAGAAAGCGTGTTTCTTGTAGTCCTTAGTAGTCCATTCATTCGCTCAAAATTCGGCTTCTTGTCGATGTTTTGAAAGCAAAACAGAGTTGGAAAATCTGTGTATAGTGTCATTTCCGAATGTAATTAGAGCTCAGACCAACTGGCAAAACCGCCGAATATTTTATTACCATACGGGGAGTCCGTTGTGAACTATGGTCCAGTCGTGTAGAGGTACGATACACTTTCCGTGTGTTTGTATTGTTTTGTATTGATTATGACGGCGAGTTATCGATAGCCTAAGGGTATTATCATTATGGATGAGAGATTATAGGTAGCTATGCCTCTTCCATACACGAGGAAGCTAAACGACATTATAAAAGGTCTAATGGTCTCCTAAGAACCTTGTACTACGACAAGTTAGTGGACAGATGTAAATACTGCGGACTACGAATGTGTTTTGGGTGACCTGTAAAGACAACTGAAGACGTGAGTTATAGAAACCAGACGGTCCAGTATGTCTCCAAAAACGCGTGGCTAGTATGATAACTGTTGTGTTGACAACACCGATCCTTGATTCATTACACGCAAAGCATATCTCCTGTTCCTGGTTTTAAATGCTTTCCAAGTACTTTTCAATTGTATCCACTGTTTTGTGTTTCAAGAAGTAGAAATAGGATTACAGGATGTATTTGTATGAAATGCACGAATCTTAATGTTTTACTTTATATTCTTTCAGGTACTGTACGTCCGACACGACAGTTTCAGATAAAATGCTCACCTCGTGGATGTACACCGTACTACAAGTAGTAGACTGCGCGAATGAAGCAAAACTAGATCAAATGTAATGCAAACTTTTATACTTTGTAGCGGAACTTCCAAAAGCTTATGTTAGTTGCGCAGTACGTTTGTTGGAGATGCAATGTCGATATATATATAACCTTTCCACACGTTTCTTTTGCTCCTATGACAATTCATTGTTCTTGTTCCTTTCCAATTAAACTTTAATTCCGTCACTATTGAGTCGACATCAGAAACTGTGGTCCATTCATCCTTTGTCTCTTTTAATTACTCCAGACGCACACTGTTCTACGAATCCTTTATTCTATATTCTATGAGTCCTGGTGTCATTTTTTTTGTGTTTTCGGTCCGTGTTTTGCGTTTACGTTCGTTCATGAAACACAGCATTTTCTGAAGGACAAAGACATTGCCCTCTAGAATTATGCTTACGTCACATATGGCGACCCCTTCAATGCAGGAATAATTTTCGTTTCTGTAGGCGACTGTGCCACCTAGCAAATATAAGGGTGCGAGGACCCTTTCCCCCCTGCAACAGGTTATTTATATCTCCCGGAACCACCAGTGCAACTACAGACCCAGCAAGACGGTCATTCTACATAATCACATTTTATTACGGTCTATCAATCTACCGTTTCCCTCACACAAAAGGATCCCCATGAAACCACAATTTTTATAACCGTCCACCTGACACAGAACACTAGACAAATTATCCACGAAGAACACACAGTCACAAACTAGTGCAAGAACCCAGTTGCCCAAGAACATGGAGCCCAGTCACCCAAACCCAAATGTCCCAGAGGACGAGTCCAGCTTCCCCGACCTCTAAACTCAGATCCAGTCGATGGCCTGCCGTGCCTCCTTACGCCCAGAGAACCTCAGTAGTAGCTTCGGTCATCCTCTCCAGTCCCTGCTGTCCCAAACAACATGATCCTTTATGCGCCTGCCTACCCTATCTTCCTCAGAGTCCGGTTCTAGGGAGGAGGATGAAGGAGCCTACCTCCACTGATCTCTGTGGAGTCCCTGGGGCCAGAGTCCTCTCTTGGGTGCAGTTTTCCCTCCAGGTTAGTCTCTGTGTGCTCATCGGGGGGGGGGTTTAAAGCCCCCCTATCCACTGCGCAGGACTTGTTCCAGGGGCAAAGTGGAAGTGTCCCATTGATGCCTTGCGTGTGGGCGCAGCTAACCTCTCAGGGCTCATTGATACATCTGGCCAGGTGCAACGAGACATTGTGTGTTCGTACCCTGTTCTAGAGCCTCCCTTCTCAGTCTGAGGCCTGGCTTGACGCGTCTTGCAATCCCATGTCACCTCAGAACGATGTGGCAATTGAGGAGTGTCTGAGCAAGGAGGAGGTCCTGTGATCAATAGGAAGCCCCAGAACAAGGAAAGACGAATGTGCCATCATTAAGGACACAAGCCATCCTGTGCAAACTCAAAGTCAACATAGTCCCTGACACCTGTTACCCCACACCCAAGAGTTGTCACTCTATGACACTTGCCGAGATTATGATTTGATAGCTGAATAAATTACTGTACACCAGCCAGACATATTTAAACACCACTGTTGTATTTTTAATTCCCTTTTCACCACTTCAAAGATATTAGTGTCGTTCTTCCTCTGGGTCCAGATAAGGTCTGGTACATCTAGTCTGGTCAAAAGCTTCAGGGAAAAACTAAAAAGTTAAGGTAGGTGATAAAGTTGGTAAATCCTGATAGTTTCGCTAATGGTTAAGTTTGGGTTACTTGCTTTACTGGTGGCACTGAATGAAGTTGTATCCTTTGCGATTAGTTGAATTTACCAAACCTGAAGACTGGGGAATTACATACTCGATGGCTTCCAGTCATCGCCCAGTACACATCTGCTGGTCATCTAAATAAAGACGGGCACCACTAGTCCTAAAACAAGCAATCACAGAGAAGTACTAAAAACATATAAACTAGAATAGGAACGGAGTAGAAGCCAATGAAAAACTAAAAGGAAGAAGCATTAGGGATAAAGACAAAGAGAACCTTAGACCAGGTACTTAATTGTTAATATCTTATAAATGCATAATATAGAAGCTATTACTTTAGCAGGCTATTATAATATAACTTAGTAATAAAAGAGACTTGACTAATGGAGAATGATAGAGATAAATACAACATTATTGGTTTGGGGGTGCTCAGGAGAGGCCTGAAAGATGGAACTGGAAGAGGTGTGGGACTACATTGCCAAAAACTATACAGGCTCACAAGTGTAGGCTACAGACATCAAGGGTCTAAGAAACTATGTGGATCATACTTATAAAAAAACCATCCGGAAGATACAGTGTCAGGAGTATGCTAAAGACCACCATATACACATATTAATTCTATGTCAATGATACACAATTAAGTATATGCAAAGGAAGAAGTGGTTATAATGGGAGACTTTAACTTTTCTCACATAGACTGGGAAAACTCAATAGGAATGTCAACAGCCAAAACTGAAATGGTTAACATGATTAAGATTGCATTACCTGCAAAAGGGAATGACGGTCTTCTCAAGCAATCAAGAGAGTGGAAAAACATAGAAGAGAGAACCATTAAACAACTGCGAACGTAACACAGTGTGCTTTGAAATATACTTTGAACCTCAACACTTTACTCCAAATCAAATTTACAATTTTAGGAAAGCAGATTTTGAAGAAAGGCAACAGAGTTTAAGAGGAGCAGAACAGGACAGGATAGACATGGAATCTGTGAAGAGGTGATGACAATAGTTTAAAGATATTCTGCCTGAAGAACAGAACAGATTTACAACAGTATGTAAACCAAAGGATGGATAGCTGTGGTCCAGATGTTTAAAAGAGGGAATTTGGGGGAAAAAAAACAGGAAAATAAAATACTTCAGACAATGATCAGAGGAATACTATAATGGAGTGAATGAAGTAATAATAGAATGGTTCTCAGTATTACAACATCCAAAAAACAGTAATTGATTATGTTGAAGGCATCAAAGATAAAGGGAGATTTCTAAATAAAGAAAGGAGACTGGGGTACTAAATGAACATTTCAAGACCCTAGGTCATCATCAACATGGAAGTAGAAAAGGTAGGTCTTGCTCCATTTAAATTAAACTTGTTAAGGTCTTGCCTAAATTAACTTGTTAGACTTCTTTTAACAAGCAGTGATAATAATGGAGACACATCAAGCATTTGATATAGTATATTTAGATTTTCAGAAGGTTTTGATAAAGTTCCTTATTAAAGATTTCTTATCAGATTAGAGCTGGTCTGTATTCATGGAAGAATTAGCATGTTTGGACTGAAAATTGGTTAAGATAACAGGCCTCTTCTCATTTGTACCTTTTCTTATATTCTGAAAAACAAAGCAGGTTTTAAAAATAAATACTGAAGACATGGGAGACAGGTTTATTTTAAAGGTACTAAACAGAACTGTGAATAAAAAAAAGTCTACATTGTGGAGCAATATCAATATCTTGTTTTTCAGCTTTTGTAAAGGAGAAAATGAGCTGGGATTCATTGGGTCCTTGGTAGGAATGGTAGATTTTAGTCCCATCGCTGGTTGTCCTCAGCTATTCCACGACAGCCACCATGTGTTTCTTTCTTTCCGTCATCACAGGCACAGAACCAGACTTGCTGTGCTTGCGAACATTCATTAGCCTAGAAAGAAAACAAAAGTGACAACTTATGACGAGAGCAACTTGTATCTACAGCACAGTCAAACATTCTGCCATTTACAAGATACTTGTTCTAAATGAACCACAGAGCCAATCTTGTAACATAGTCAAGGCAAGAAAGCTGGTTCACAATGCTCTTATCGTAAGACAGTAGCTAAATGATGTAAGGATCTTATCCAGCCGTTCCTTTAAAGAGCCAAAGAGCTCAGTGATGACACGCGACGCACAGAGAACACTCTTCTTTATAAAACAAATGTGTACAGGTTGTATTCAATGGGATAGTGCTCTACAGAAGTACTGTTCTTCAATCAGAGGGCTCACTGTTAGATGAAACTGGGAAAAACAGACTCTTCATCTCTGGCAAGTCTGAGCTTGCAGGAGACACCCATCTGCACGTTTCCAGTGTGAAACTGGTGAAAGATCAGAAGGACCATGGTGATACAGGGACGCTTTTATAGGAAAAACATACGCAAATCTTGGTGAGACTCAGCTTTTGACTCCATCCATTGTGCAGTAAAATCATCCATTTACCACCTCCAAGTACTGACAGACCCTCAACCATATCTTTTCTTATCTGATGGAGAGATTTTTTGCTATGCTTTTGTTTCCTATTATCAGTGATACAGCAACTTGCTCTTCATTGGTGTTACAGCATGTGCAACCCATGGTCTACAGCTGGCACATACGCTGGCAGAATCCTGTCCAAAAGCAATTATCACAATCACATTACTGCCCAACGGTCCATATTCCACTGTCAAATATTATGCTGTTTCTAAAGTCTTCTGTTGACATACCAACCCCCTAATGACAACTTAAGATCTTCCAAGATCTTGAAGACTATATAAATCTTGGTGGTTGTTTCTTTACATCTGTTGTCCCCACCTTCAGGAATTCCCTACCAATTTGGGTCCCTTCTTTCAGTGTAGTAAACAAAAACACCAACTATACCCGAGTAGCTGGTATAGTTGGAGACATGCTAATTATTTTTTCTCTGGCACTGTTTATGTGAAAAGAATGAGCTGTACTAAAACATTGGTTGACCCTATATATACAGTATGCTCTGGACTGTCCTTGTCTCCTTTACTGATCAAGAGAGGGGTAAAATCATGATTTAGTAATGTGATGCCTGTGTAAGTTTTCTGTACAACACCCCCACAAAAAACAACAAAAAAAACAAAGGTGAGCTGAATTCCCTGTTTGTTCTAAAGATCAAGACAACTAAACGAGGTGAGAAGGGTGCAGGGTCACCCAGCATAAATTACATTTCATCTTTTAATCAATACTGAGATACGCTAACATTGCGTATTATTACATTCAATATTGTTGTAATATTGAACTACAATCAAAGTTAGCTTATCACCTTAATGCATTCCTGCACTACCCATTATTTTCTGTACACAGCACTAAAGCAGCAAAATAGTGTACTAATATTGATGCTACAGTAATAAAATGCTGACAATCAAAATAACGTGTTTAGCATTCATGACCTAGGCCAAAAAAATAACATATTGTACTTACTGGCTGAAAAAAAAAACTGTCCCGATTACTAAAAAAATATCAAGATCACAGCGTTCATCTGAGCTCTTTTGAATCGTAAGCAACATCTTCACCACACCTCTGTAAGGAAGCTCAAACTCAGCCAGCCCCACTGGTAAACATAGCAGACATCTGTATATGTTCAAAAATAACTACAAGTAATTCCCTACACTTGGCAATAAAATATTGCATATAGCATTTTATGTACACTCCACTCAAAGTGCTTTACAGGTAATGCAGACTCCCCTCCACCACCACCACCACAAACGCGCAGCCCCCACCAGGATGATGCGACAGCAGCCAAAGTGCTCCAGTACGCTCCTCACACACCAGCTATCAGTGGGGAGGAGAATAGAGTGATTAAGCCAGTTCATACATGGGGATTAATAGGAGGCTATGATTGGTAAAGGCCAATTGGAGATTTGGCCGGGACACCAGTGCAGCACCCCTACTCTTTCTTGAGAAACACACAGACTTTTAACAACCAGGAAGAGTTGGGACCTTGGTTTTACGTCTCATCCGAAGGACAGTGCCATTTTACAGTATAGTGTCCCGTTCGCCACACTAGGCATTAGGACCCATGCAGACTGCAGAGCGAGCACCCCCTACTGGCGCCACTAACACCTCTTCCAGCAGCAACCTTAGCTTTCCCAGGAGGTCTCCCATCTAGTTACTGGCCAGACTCACACCTGGTTTGGCAGTTGTGAGCTGCAGGGTGATATAGCTGCTGGCTACGAAAGTAATAAAAACATAGAGGCTCATTTGTCAAAAAAGGTAAAGAAGAATGAAAACCCAATGATTTAACTATTTTAATTATTTAGGGTTTATATGATTACACCTTGCTGCTGCATTTGAGAAATACACATCTTCCCATGAAATACATTTTACAGGGAAGCATGACTTCATGTCCAGTGCTTGCCTGAGTTTGCTGCATGAGGCACAATGGAACCAGAAACTAGTTTAGTTAACTACAGTGTGCAGAGGAGACAGGAAAGCTGCATTGGATTACGCAAGCACAGCTACCGAAAACAATTCGTCTGCTGCTATGTTTGGAAAAAGTTTAACTGCGATATGGCGATGATCAGGTGTGCGCCCCCATAAAAAGACAAGAGGTGGAGGTGTGCTTCCCCCATTGTGAAAGGACAGAGCAGCCCCACTTCCCTCAGCTCGAGTAGGCTTCTCTAGGAGCCAGCGAAACGCAGCCACAGCACTCGCAGAGTGGAAACGGAGATGTGCCACCACTTGATCCAAACGAACGCTTTGTAAGGGAGCTCTGTATTTAGCCCCCTTTATGCTCACAAAACGGGAGGAAAGCCAGTGTAGAGTCAATTTACAATGTAACTCTTAACTGCTAAACAGCTCTTTTGTTTTCAACTTGGCACTCGGCGCACTCGTTCCATTTACATCCTGCACTCCTGGGTGGCTCGGAGACCTAATGGCGTCTCAGGGTGACCCTACTCTAAGTCATCATGAAGCATGGCCACTTCAGCACAGCTGTCATAGCTGCACTGCAAAAGCAAGCCACTCTTAGTACAATTCACGCACAGGAGGATCTCCGGATGTTGCACCCACGCAGCATTCGCACATGCCCACGCAACACACAAATCTAGCCATCTGCAAATATCTAAAGATGGCTGTAACGTCTATTGGAGTGGCACTGGATTTAAAGTGGTTCCAGGTTATCATAAGGAAGCCCAGTATTTGTAACACATCAATAGGAAATAAACTTTCTTGTTTACGATAAGGTTTGAAAATAACTGCCAGGGTTGAAAATCTATCAAATGCAGCCAATACTGAAAGGAACGACTTCAGTCTTATTTTTTTTTAAGTGGCAGCAAGTGTACTGCACCATTCATAAAATTCTTAATAACTTAGTTTTGCATAATTTGTAATACATTAATAATCACGCAGGATGTTTAGCTTCTGATATTTCTTAATTGTGTTCCCATTTTTTACAGTTTATTCTTACAGTCAGAAGCTAAGCAAGACTGCGTCAGGGATGGGAGAGCTCCAAAGAAAATGAGATTTCTGCTGTAAGTAGTGCTGGTGGGTCAGTAGGTGGACCACAATTTCCAGATCAGTACCCCTGTGTGGTACATCCATGGGATAATTTTCAGACACTGATGGCTTCAAAAGGAAAAAAAAATAACCTGTGCATCAGAAAGTCACCATCTGAATGAAAATGATCTGTATGCATGGAGGGCATTCAAGGTTAGCATGCTGATAGCTGAGTTACTAAATCACAGCTGGCCCAGTGAACACCTTTCGTGGTGGTATGGACCAATCACATGCTAACCACCAAAGGTTATAGATTGGCTGAATGGTTTCCTCTTTTCTTATAATAATTAATAATAATTCCTTACAATTATATAGCGCTTTTCTGGGCACTTCACTCCAAGTGCTTTACATGTAATGGGGACTCCCCTCCACAAACAACAATGTGCAGCCCCACCAGGATGATACGATGGCAGCCAAACTGAGCCAGTACGCTCACCACACATCAGCTATCAGTGCGGAGAAGAACAGAGTGATGAAGTCAATTCATAGACAGGGATTATTATTAAGAGGCCATGACTGGTAAAGGCCATTGGAGAAATAAGGCCAGGACACCAGGGTTAACACCCCTAATCTTTTCAAGAAACATCCTGGGATTTTTATTGACCAAGGAGAGTCAGGACCTTGGTTCTCACTCGAAGGACGGCACCTTTTTTACAGTATAGTTTCTCCACTACATTGGTTGTAATGCGGTGAAGGTTATACGAACTGTTCCTCTGCTCAAGTCAACCCAAAGGGATATGGGATTGCACTGATGGGGGGAGAAGTCTTTTTTAAACATGGATGATGATCATCCAGCTCTTTATTGGAAGAAGCCTGTTTAAAGGTAATCTTCAATGTCACCTCTCCCCCTATATGTTCTAGTAAGCCCAGAGTATCAGATTTGCAAACTCTGTATGAATAAACCCCTCGGAGCAGCTAGAGTTATTGCCTCCTGCAGCTATGCTTTCCATTTGTCCCACAGGATTCCATTCTTGCAGACATCAGACAGACTGAAAATTGTTCATTCAAAAAATAGTTTGAAAACCGAATTAAATTATCTGAGCAGGCTTTTAATCAGTGTTGATTTTTTCCTCTTTCATATGCACATGTATGCTTGCTTTGAAGCCAGTGCAGCTCTGACGCAAACAGTAGATAACATTAAACCTTAAGATGGATTCTGACATTCTGATTTGCTAGCCTAGAGAGGAGGATGTGTAACTATGCCTGAAATGATGATGATGGGATGTTAATTAAGAAAGCTATAACACTTACTTTCTGCGTTGAGCGTTCCTCATGATCCGCAGCTCCTTGATTTGGCTGAAGATGGTTTTGGGCAGGTGACGGTGACGAGCAATGCGCTGGATCTTGGGGTGGTGCTGGAACTTCTCCTTCAGCTTCTGGTTGTAGTTCAGTGCGGCTTTTTCCCGAGGAGCAAGCTGAATCAAAGCGGGACACAAAAACCGTTACCGCTTAATTCCCCGGTGAGGTGCACATCTTTGACCATGATGCAAATCGCTGTAAAAACATTTTTATCCCACCAAAATTTCGGAGGAGTTCCCAAGAATTTGTCTCTCCGTCTGTTTGCCACAAGAACCCCCACTTCCTGAACTTGACTGCTGCTGGAATTTTCCAATTACAACAGTGCTGTTAAACCCCCACCCACTATTCCTCTCACAACTGTATTCTACTGAGTCACTGAGTCACAGATCAGCTGTTACCAGGACTTTCCAAATAGCAGTGCACAACTGACAGAGTAACACAAAGTTAAGGTAAGCTTTGTCAACCGGGGTCTTCTAGCTTTCCAGATCACCGTTGACTCTTATGACTTACCTGGTGTTGGCACACTTGCAGTGATGTCAGTGAGAGATATGCCACTATTCCAATTGTTGGTAACTCTCCTGTCATGCACTTGCAGCATGTCAAAAGATGAATGCCTCTGACCGGCAGGAATGTCAGAGTAGCGAGTTTGGTTCCTTGTTCTTTTAAATTGATCTGTAACTGTACTGTAAAATCCTGCCTCTATGGATGTGTAGGAGAAATCTACTGTTACGCTTTGTAACAACTTATATACTCCTAAATTTGGAATTGCCCATTGTCAGCCAACATGACATACCACTACAATCCATGTATTTGTACACATGGAACACAAGTATCCTCAGAAATCTGAACAGTACTGTGACTGCTAATTTGTCTATTTATCTGACATTGTGAGCTCCACAGCACATACAGCAGACCTAGCATTGGAAAGAGCAGTTATAGAGCTATCACTGGCTTTTTGTCAAACCTGATAAGAGATTACTGCTGAGCAGCACACAGAAAACACCCAGACAGATTTAAACCCTCCCAGCCTCAGAGGTGCTCTGGCAGTGCACTGCTGCCTGAAGAATCCTGTGTATACTCAATCCCATGGATTAGTCCAGGCTCAAGCCACCAATGACTGGACTATAGTGTTCAAGCAACGCTCCTCAGTGCCATTGATGATCAAACATCTCAACAGCAAGATTCCAATATCTACTGGTTACTGTAGTTGCATTTTGTCATTATTATATTAGTGTAGTGCTTCTCAGGATACACATAGTACACATAGATACAATTATTTGATTTCTACAGCTAAAAAAACACAACAGGGAAATAAAATATCATATCATAATTGTATCATAATTGTTAACACGTTGAAGTTAATCAGTTTTAATAGAGGTCCCCTTTGAGAGCTTACATTAGTATGATGCATGATGCAAATTTGCATTATATGGTTTAGGATGGTGCAAAACCCAAACATTGTATCTGAGAATCCTGAAGCTGCAAATGGAATAACACCATTCCAGCACTAGTGCCCCGTGTTCTAAATTGTTCATTTGAGCAAGAAATATTTTAGATGTGTACTTCTGATACGCTATTTACCATATTGATTAAGGCGTGATTTCAGCATTGCTTTACTCCGAAATTTATACATAAATGCGTGCTGATGAGGATAACATTGATTTTTTCCCAAATACAGTACATTCAATCTCCACAGCAACATTTCTAAACTTTCAAAACAAAAACATCAGGAACTTTGAGTACTGCAAAAAGTAAAGAAGGACTGTCTTCACTAAGATTAAATTATTGTTGACGCTTAAGGGTACAGGCATAATAAATCTAAGATCATTTTCAGGTTCAAAACAGAAGTGTCAGGTAGTGTATACAGTTTTTGCTTACTGCAGAGATCATACTGGCCACACGTTTCTCCACTTAAATGTACTACTGCCACCTTAAACATTACGGACACATTACAACTAGACCTGCTTACTACTCCTGACCTAAAATGTTTCTCATAGGATAAATGATTTTATCCCTTATGCCTTGGATTATGCCTTAAGTTTGATCAGATAACTAGGTACTGCAACAACTGCATTTATTTTTTGAACCTGTTGAAAATAATTTAAACTTTTTAAAGTTACTTTTTAAAAATGCACTGGATTTTTAAAGAATCTATCTACCCCAAATCAAACTACTCCAGCAAGACCATAAGCGAGATAAAACTTCACTGAACAAGCAAAGTGATTTCATACAATCGCGTCATTTTCCAGACATACGTGGTTCATTTACATCCTTTGCAACGGAGGAAATAAAAATCCTCATCATCACTATTTAAAATCCAAGAGGGAGGGAAAGCTAAAGTGAAAAACATCACTCATTTCAAAAATTGTGACCCTTACCATTTCCATTTCTTGTTTAAATCAGGCTAGGTCCAAAAGAAGCTACTTACATTTGAATGGTGAGTAAAACATTCAAACCAGCACACAATTGTGGAAGACCTTCAGGGACAACTAAGGTTGCTGCTGGCAGAGGTGTTAGTGGGACCAACAGGGGGCGCTCACTCTGCAGTCTGCGAGGGTCCTAATGCCCCAGTATAGCAAATGAGACACTATACTGTATAAAGGCACTCTGCCCTACTGATGAGACATAAAACCAAGGTCCTGAGTCTCTTTGGTAGTTAAAAATCCCAGTGTGTTTCTCTAAAAGAGTACGGGTGTTACCCCTGGTGCCCTGGCCAAATTTCCCCTTGGCCTTTACCAGTTATGGTCTCATAATAATACCCATCTCTGAATTGGCTTCATCACTCTTTTCTCCTCCTCACTGATAGCTGGTGTGTGGTGAGCGTACTGGCACACTATGGCTGCTGTCGCATCATAGGGGTGGGGCTACACACTGGTGGTGGTGGAGGGGTCCCCATTACCTGTAAAGTGCTTTGAGTGGAGTGTCCAGAAAAGCGCTATAAAAGTGTAAGGAATTATTCTATGCTACATTCTGTAAGAAAATATTTAAATTTCAATGTGATGTGGAACTTTAAAGCAGTCTTAGAAAAAAAAAAACAAGCAAATAAACGGACAACATGAAGAGCAATATAATATTTAGAAACCACACTGTGTATGAAATTGTGAACGGTCAAAATGAAAAAGGAGTTATCATTTCCCTCTAATTAAATGATTGCTTTTGCTTCTACACCTCAACAATGAACAGATTCCACGTCCATTAATGTTAATAAATAAAACCTCTTTTCTTGCAGTCAGGCTCACTTTAGTAAGATCACTTTGATAGCTCCTCCTGTTCTAATAAATCGCTAGGCCTCCCTGCCTTACACTGCAAGAGACTGCTGAAGTACTCCCCCTTAAAGGGCTTTTATTTTAATTAAAGGCAATGATTTTCTTAAATTCAATTTAAGAAAAGCAAATTGCTGCTGAGTACGCCCAACCACACTGCTTCCCTAGACAAAACAGGAGCTTGTTAAAAGTAATTTATGAAATTCTTTTCAGCTTTTTAGGCCGGTAAAAGGAAGACAAGGAGGATCCTGGGACACTGGTGTATGCAGACATTCCAGCACTGAAAAATCTTCCTATGAAGTAGGATGTTTGTTTCACCGAATAAGTGGAGATCCAAATCCAAATGATAACAAAAAATTACCATGTAATATTCTTTCTTTTCCCTGAAAAAACAAATTGAACATAAAAATCACACCTGAAGAAGGCTCCACAGCCGAAACGTTGTGTTTTCTCTCTTCTCTTTTCAGTATGGAATAAAACTATTACTTGTTCCTTTGCAGCCTACGCATGCTGACGCAGCTACCCATCTGAACTACTATAAAAATCATATTCTGTATTTTTACATATTAAGAGCTATTTTAAAAAAAACTAGCATCACAGAGGAAAACAAATTTGAAAGGGTTTCTAGAACCAGAAACATTTCTATAATCAGCTACTAGTTTTAGGACACTGGACTGAACTGGGCTGATTAAACTGATGAAACAGTTGAATTTGTATTATTCATAGATTGGGAACAATGTATAAAGTTTTAAATATTACTAAGAATACACTGATATAGTGTTTTTTTCTGGACACTCCACTTGAAGTGCTTTACAGGTAATGGGGACTCCCCTCCATCACTACCAGTATATAGCCCCAATCTGGATGATGCGATGGCAGCCAAAGTGTGCCAGTACACTCCCCACACACCAGCTATCAGTGGGGAGGAGAATTGAAGTCAATTCAGCTTTTAAGCTCACTGGTATTTTCCAATAGCTGAACAAACTGTTTTTTTTATAAAAATAATATTGAAGGACTAATGTTCAAAGTCCACAAAGAAACTGAATACAAAATTTAAAAAGTTTTAAAATTACGTATTTTTACAAAAACAAATTTTGGCCTTATTCCTGAAGATGCTGTAGAGGCAGTTACAAATGATAATCTACAGCATAGGAACAAGTAAAGGTTTATTCCATGCTAAAAAGAGAAGAACAGAAACACAACTTTTCGGCTGTGGAGCCTTCTTCAGGTGTCATAACTACACCATATCCTGGCAAAGTCTTAATAACGTTACTCCACTACTTACAGAGGTCTCAACAATTCCGTGTCCTAAATAGATAATGTCACAATACCCATTTTTGGAATGCATGTTAAATTCTCTTTTGCTTAAATGAAATACTGTGTCTATGTACTGCTCTTTTCTATGTCATAAAACTACTAATTAAAGGCATATTCTAACAGCAATGAAACGTGACAAATGGTTTCAGATGTGACGCACACCTCTGAATTCTCATGGGTGGAAACCAGGGGCAGCACAAGTTTCCTGTCTTGTGCCAAAACCTCACACAGGCCTTCTGAGCTACAGTGCTCCAGCAGAACGTCTCAATGACTGCAGCTAATTGATTGGAAAAAGTTTACATTTTCACAGTCTTTTGCAGTTCATAACTTAACAAGAGAGATCTCATTTGAATTGCAGCATCTATAAAGAATTGTGAGACCTGGAAAGATGTGGCGAGTTCGACTTATGAACTAAATTAGACTAATTAGGGAATTCAATGGAACTAAAGCTATGAGCGTGTGAACCATTGAGAGAGCCCTGATTTACAGACACCCCGAAGACTCCCCTGGTTCACAAGCTATTTAAGCTATTTATGTACATAGCAAAACTTAACCCTGCATCTATGGACAACAGAAGCAACATGGGATAAATGCAAAAGTCATCCACCTCTTCAAATTCTTTAAAAAGATAATTCAATTAAAGGTTAGATAACTAAAACACCTAAAATTCTGGAAAAAGTAAACTAAAATTGTGTACCTAACAAAAATAATATTCTTCCACGTAATGTAAATATGGTAGCAAAGGTCATGAAATTGTCACCATGTAAATATGACAATGTAAATCTGCCTTGTTTGATAGCTATTCAGAACCATAAATATGGCCATCGTTATAACGTCCCCTGTGTTTCAGGCCTAAAAACAAATTCCTGTGTGTAAAAGTCCCAGAGCAATCTGTGACATGGATTTCCATCACCAGGGTGTTAATGACACTGGGTTTTCATTGATTTCAAGCGGTCACTCCACAAGACTAACACGCATAACCACCGTCTTGATCCAACCACACAGTTCGTTATGGAGAAAAGACAGAGAATTGATTCAGCATTTCTTGTTTAATTAAATACCCCTCACTAAATGCAGAACAATTTGATTTTTAATGCGTCATTATTTCACAGGGTCTGCTTTAAGTGATTGGACAATTAAAACTGCTGATTGGTGCAGCCCTCAGCTGATCTCTTTAAGTGCAAGGCCTGCAAATAAATCTCGTCCTATATACTTACAGTAAAACACATGCCAAAAGTAGGGCCCTCACCCAATATTGAGTTAAATCAAGAGCATAAAAAGCATTTCAGAGTCCAGCAGCAATGCTTACAGTTTAGATTAGGCTGAAGTACAATTTGAAGTATTTAAATAAACCTTTCCATGTTTACAATATTTCACGAACTTCCCTTCCACCTTTTGGGCTGAGAAGGTTCCAGACAACTTGTATACTCTCTGCATTAACGACAAACATAAGAGCCAACTCCAGTCTTCATTCCATGACTACTTCGTATTAATGCAAAATAATAGGAAGGTTAAAAAATGCCTTTTCAATTCTGTTAATTCTATTGCTCGTAGCGTATTCTCCAGTTATGATCTTGTAAAAATGTCAGCTGGGGAGCGCATGAAACAGAGTGAAGACACCAACAAAGCAAGACAATACAATCTCTATATCACAACACTGTCATCCAAAACCAGACTTTTCTGGCTGTGGGCCTAATTTAAGGCTATTCACTGCTGGAAAAAAAAGCAAAATCTCCATAGTAGACTATTTGAGGTCCTCATTCCTGAGGTCACAGGAAATTTGGACTGATCTTACTCATGTGCTCCCCTGGTGGACAACTGTCTGAATTACTGCACATCTGTGAAGCATGAGGTTGAAAAGCAGACTTAAGGATGTTCCCTCTAGAATGTCACCCGTTCACTGAGTGTGATATTGTCACACAACATCTACTCATGCGGTTTCACCTCTATTAGTATTGTAGTTAGAGATTTTCTTTTTGAAGCACCAGGCTGTTGCTAATACTTAAAAGTAAAAATCACTGTAAGATTTTTTAACAGAAACATTCCCATCAAAGTGATACCTGCCGCGATCAATCACAGTATTTTGCTGGAGTTTCTGGCACATCAGCATTCTTTTCCATAGAAGTCGTGTAGGCATTCAGCCAGACTGCCCATAAATAAGCCCACACTGGGGAACGCAGGGCAGGAAGCAGCCTGACACATGTGGATAACCATGAGGACATCGCTTCTTCACAAGGAAAGCAACAGGGCTCGAATGGGCAGCTCTCTGTGGCAGCTGGTACACTCATTGTGAGCACACACAATGCACGTTTAAAAACTGCTGGCTCCATGCAAGTATCAAAAACACTAACTACAATCAGATTTCCGGATTAAAACTCTTTGTCATCAGGACTAGCCTTTTTCATTGTGAAATCACTGTAAAGTTAATTTCATGCGTTTTTTTCCAAGTGTTGAAAAAACCCTCCAGATTTGCAGTAATGTACTTACTGCTTTACTCCTTTTATCTAGATAAAAAATCACCATCGCCTAGTAGAGCTGACATGTGGAAGAGATAAACGTGCTGTGGGGAAGAGGGGGTTGGCAGCTGAGGCTTCAGTCACTTTGCCCTGAATGGTTTCATGTGCTAAATCTACACTGTCGTCACAATGCAAACAATGGCCGAGTGTGCTGCACACACACACAGCGACAACGTGGGCCTAGTCAGCATGTCTTTGGAAGGTGAGAGGAACCGGAGAGACCCACATGAATACCAAGTGACCAAACTCCACACTCCAGGCCTGAACCTAACCCAGTACCAAAGAGCAGAGAGACTGTAGCACTAACCATCAGGCCAATACAATGCCCAAGATGCATCTATTTTTCATATTAAATTAAGCATCAATCCCTGGAGACTGATTTATGGAATAGGGTGATCCTTGTGAATTGTGAGTTTGCTTTTTTATTGTAAATCATACATATAATGAACCATTTTAAGATATAAATAATCACTCTGACAATACGCAGATATTTATGTGGTGTCCCATATATCTGTGCAGTATAAATCTATATCTAATGCTGCACTGATGTTAAAGTATACCAAAGAAAACTACAAAAAATGTGAACTTGAGCATTCAGGAATTTTAATGAACATTATTGTGAGAGATCATATCAAGACTTCTGACTTGTCAAAATGCCTGTCCAAAAAGTTAATGGTGTTGGTACTGGATGAAGATCGATGAAGGCATTTGGATTCACTGAACGTAATCAGACAGAAGCTTCTAATGTATAGATGTCTTTAACCATCATAAAGAAGATCAATTTCAGATTAAACTAGGCCAGAATAACCCATTATTATATTCTCCAAAAACTTCCCTATGTCTGCAAGGTCAGGCTCTAAATGTCATTTTATCCACTAAAATGAGGTACCTGACTTTAAAGTACGGAAGCCAAAAGGTATGAAATAACTGTTTGAAATACTGAATACTCACCACTCCAAGTTTTTCTGAAGCATTAGCTTTCCACAGACGGATGTTCATCTCGTCTGAACCGCTCAGAATGTATTTGCTGTCCGATGACCACTTCACACAGATAACGTGCTGCATGCGCTTTGTATGGTAAACCTCCCTGGAAGACACAAACAGCTCAGTCAAGACACCGCCCTTGTTGCAAAGACAGGAGTGCTTTCACATGGGGCTTAAAAATACCATATTAAAAGGCGTCTTGCACAGACTTGCTGCAGTTTGTCCTCATACTTCAATAAAAGCAGCCTTACTCTGAGGTCGAAACCTCATGCACAATACGGTCAACCCTCCACCTGGAGCACCTCAACTGTTACAGCGCGAGCTAGCATTCGACAATCATATTCCCGTTGGAAGCAAGTTTTATTTGCTAAAATAGGTGTTAACTCCATAGCAGGGCTGAGCACAGATAGCAACAGGTAATCACTTACTACATGAGTTAAACAACGTGCAACGAGACAGAACCGGACACGACTGTGACATTCAAAGCAAGGTTTCAAAGTCACGGTTACTTTAAATGTTTAGGCCAGATTAAACGTTTGAAATCCAATCTAGAAACAAATGTTTTGCAACGACCAAACTAAAAACAACATCATGAAGAACCTTAAATGATCATTTTACCAGGTGTAAGGTAAACCTGAACAGTATCACATTCTAAGTACTTCACTTACTTACTTCACTTCTTACATAGAAAGTAAATATTACAGCAGAAATCAACATCTTTCTTTTATTCCAAAAAAAAAGATACCACCATACACCATTCTGCATTACAGTAGACCCAGCTGAAGAATTGGTCAGACTAATATTGCTTGAGCAATGCATGATTGCACAGTATTCACCTACTGATATTAATCCTCCCTGTCTCCTTCACTCATCATTTCTCTTCTGGGCTCAGCAGTCATCCTAATTGGCATCCAGTTATCTTAAAGTTGCTAATCAAGGGCCCAATTTACATTGACCTCATAAAACACATTATTCCAAGTTCAGCAAACTGTGGAATATTCTGCTAAATCATGACCAAACACATTTTAATACTGCATCAAAATCAATATTTAACAACCCCACACAAGGGACTTGTTCCCATGAACACGTGGATCAATACCACTTGCATTAAACAATTATTTTCTGTAGGACTACATGAAGATTGCTAAATTAATTCTTCGTAAGCACTGAACTGATCTCTAATCCATATCACAGTTCTTCTGCCATCATTAAAACTTTCAAAGCCTTTTTATCAGATTATTCTGCTATTTGCTATCCTCTTCTAAATAATCACTGCATCCTTTTAAACAAATTAGGTGTAGTTTGACTGAATGAGAGAACAAATTTGCATCCCTGAGGTCTCAGGACAAAATATTTTTATATTACCCAAGTATGGCAATTAGCAATACAGACAATGATTTTTACCTCAGAATGCCAATAATGTGATAATCACATAAGATTTTTATTTGCATTTCCAAGAAAAGACTTCTCAGAAACTTTTAACCGGTTTAATTTTAAAAGTTTTGTGTCAGTTTTAAGCAATACCTATTAGGCATATTAGGGAACATTGGGCAGCATCAAACATTTAAGAAATTCAGAAAACAATACAGAGGAAGGGGTTTAATGGCAAAGTGGAGAGTATACCACATCAAATTCCTGACACTGAATATTTAAACAAAGACTTACTGGTTAATTCTGTTGACAGTAATAATTTAAATTATGATACTGGCAAAACACAAGACAATACCTTCTTAGAAAAACAAATACAAGACTGTCACTGTATCAGTACGATCTATTCCTGCGTTCGCCAACTCCGGCCTTCTGTACAAACTGCACTGGTGCTGGTTTTTAATACAGCTATAGAAAAGCCGGACCTATTTTAATTTAATAAGCAACACCAAGAATAAATAGTCTGCCAATGACAAAGTCCAAATCCTCCTCTCGATGGCAGCTTTTCATTGCACAGATCAGTGATTCCCCAATCCTGGCCCCGAGGGACCACTGTCTTCTAATTTTCGCTCCAACTGAGCTCTAAAATCCCAGTGCTAATTGATCGCTTTAATTGATCTGCATGTTTAAACTTATTTCTGCGCTCAGTGTCGAGTTCCAAACATGCCCTAGTTTAACGGCACTGTTTCCAATAACTCCGGCATCCCGGACATTAAGCGGACTCTTCTTAACCTTTGCCCTTATTTCTGGCTAAGCAGCTCTTAATAGATGATGGATTGATGATGAACAGACGCAGGGGGAAGACAAGGCATGAAACACTCCCCAGTGAAATTCTGTTCCTTGTGCCAGGGCACAACAATTCCATTTCAAGAACTACGCTTACAAAAGGCAAGTCTGACACTCAGACATTGGCACTTGGATGACATCATTACAAATCTCTTCCGATCTTACAAGAGTGGAAAGCATTTAAAATATATGGCCCAAACAGAAAAGTAAAATCAGGAAGCATGTAAGCCTTTAAGAATTTGACTGAAACAAAAAACAGAGACACACTGACTCCAAAAGACCCGGCCTGGAAACCAGTGGCTTCTGTATCGGACAAATAGAAAGTACAAAAAAAACACTAAAATTCTCAAAAATCTCCTAACACAAAGGTAAATTCATAATATTATCCACAGATGCACAGTATACATCTTCATAAATGTTTCAATTCTAACAACATCCAGGCTATCCAGAGTCCCTAAATTGTTCTGACTTCAATTTTTTTCCAGCACGTTATTCAAAAAAGGTTAACAGCATGTTAACAGTTAACAGCATGCTGTTCAAGCAGCTCACGGTGAAGATGCACTGAAAAGTGACCACCTCCTTGCACGCTGGAAGCTCACCAGTAGCGGTGACCGGCACTGACAGACAGCTACCTGTGTCCTGCTTGATCAAATGTGCTCATGAGAGAAGTGGGGTGAGGGGGGTGGGGAGGACAAAGACCATGAAAAGGCAGGCGGAGACCGACCTGCTGTGCCCCGAGTCCGCTGGGAAAATGCGGATGGATTTATCAAAACTGGCGGAGACAAACTCCTTCCCGGTCGGGGAATAATCAAGATCCAGGACTGCCGACACGTGGTCCATGTGCACCATGACGGGTGAGTCCAGACGTCGCATGTCAAAGGTGTACAAGCTGTGAGGGAAAGGCAAGTTATGGTTTTAGTCCAAGCACACTCCGAGACAGAGCAAACTATTCCATCTGATGGCAATCCAATCTAGTCCCTCTGAGAGTCCAGCAGGCCATAGCTCTGGGCAGTACTACAGATCAACTACACACTGGTTAACTATTAGAAACTCTGAGGTAAGGGTTTTAAATTCACTAGATAAAATAAAGGTTGTTATATCTTTTGGTATCTGAAGGCACAATTAGGAACAAATTCACTTAATTAAACAAAAGCCACATGTTACAATTAAGCTATACATGCTAAAAGATAACTACTTACACATCTGCTAATAAGGGCTTTGCATTCTTTTCTTGCTAAAAACAACAATAGAAAGTTTTCAAAACAGGGCAACAATTCCCAATTGAAGACAACACATCGATCCACTCACTTGTAGTCTTCATTCGCGCATGTAAACATAAAGGCTTCCATTGGATTCCAACACAAAGCATTGCTCCGCATTTTCATTATGACCTAAAGAGTAACAGCACACTGTATCAATACCACACGCAGACATGTCTGAGATTGCCAACTTTGCTTGTAGCGATGAAAAAGCAGAGGCTCTGGGCCCTTCTTAATCACCTTCTTCAGCGGAGTCGCCTGCCTCATGTCGTACAGCACGATGCTCCGGTTAGAAACACAGCTCGCAAGAAGTTCAGGCTGCAAGAGGATGTTGAAGCCATTAAACCCAGAATCACAAAAACGCAGAAAGAAATGTGTAAAACATAAATGCTAAAGATGTAAAACACTTAAGAGAAGATGCCCCAAAATTCTGTCAATAAATGTCTGGGCGAGATCCTTGGATTAATTCCACTACGAACTGCAAACCAAATGGCTTCATCTTGTTTGGATCTCCTTAAATGTCCTCTTATGTCCTTACGTGTCAAAGCAAAAATAGGGTATGAGCTTTGTTTGAACATTTTACTGTCTTCAGCTGCTCATTAATCCATTATCCTGCACATAATTCTAACCTAGACAAAAAAAAAACATTAAGTTGGGAGTTTTCTGAATAAAAATACCCCCTTTTTACTCAGAGAACAAGTAATGTGAACTGATAAATTCAAATAAAAAGGAGGAGGGGTCTTGTATATTTCATAAATGAAAGATGTATAAACCTTCAATATAATGTGTTCATATTACCAGTCCAGGACAAATGTGTGGTCATTTCTACCATTCACAATTTTATTTTTACTGAACAATATATACTTCAAAACACAATCGGACAGAAACTGTTACAGCTATTTTACTGTATAGACATTCTTACAATATTTTTTTTTCCACAGAAGTGATAAATATGTCCTCTGGAGCATTTGACCACAAACTGCTTCGTGCAGACAGAGAACTTTAAATTACACAAATCGTAATATTATAATAAAAACTGCATCAGAGGCAGATCCAGTTCTTTTAAACTATGTTTTACACAGGAATTCTTCGATAGTTATACAGCATTGCTAGCTATGCAACTGAATTGATGCCCAAGAGACCTAGAGTGGAGTTTTAGATATCCCAGCAGGTGCAATTCAGCATACATATCAAGAAGAACAAACTAGACGTCCTTTATGTTTATATACTTCATATTGCATAAAGTTTATGTATACAACCTGTGATCTGAATGTGCAAAGCAAGACTGAAGGCGATTAAAAACACCAAATTTCAAGAGTTTCTTATTTCAACATATTTTATCTGTGCTGATATCTGAACAATTACCTGCCAAATTTGGAGTTAAGCAATTCAAGAGCTTTCAGAATTACAAGCCGTATTTCACAAAGTAACATATTAGCTCATGGAGGCTGTGTTCTTCAATATAGCACACTAGCAGTTTCATGGAGTTCTGAATATATTAAAAAGTAATATAATAAAATGGTATTACTCTTATGTTATACCATCTGTGTTTTGTTATTTTTCTCCCCACTTACTCACTCAGTCTAATGACAAGGGATTTAACGTCACTCCTGTCCTTACCTCCACAGGGTTGAAGCGGACACTGATGATACTATCCACACCCCAGGAGAAACTGCGGATGGGGCTAGTTCTCTGCTCATCCCAGATGTCCACCTGTTGGCCACACGTGGCAAAGGTTCCCTCCTTCCAATGATGGTCAATTCCCGTGTACACTGACTGGGAAAGCAACAGCAAGCCTGGCTCATCATGTAGTCAAATTAAAGGGTATCCAATACAGTCAGAATAGCATTTCTGGCATGTGCCAGACAAGATACTTTGCTTGTTATCTTTACAGTAAATCAAAGGAACAATGCTAAAAGTAAAGGAAATGAACTGAAAAAACATTTGTGGGATGTAAATACATTACTTCATTTTTTGTGGGGGTAACAATCAGGGATTACTCCATGTTTGATTCAAACATTTTATTGATGTAGATGTATTGATTGTACTTTGCATTTAGAGCCTGCTTTTTCAATTTTTTCAAGATTATTCAAAACCGGGAAGAGCTTTAGTGAGCAGGAAAATCAAAATGAAAAAAATTAAGCGATGCTTCATACAATTAGTACAGAAGTACAAATGGCAGATGGGTAGGAAAAAAGTAGAAAGATTAAGGCCAATTAATTCGTAAGAAGAAAAATTACATGTTGAAAACGCTGTGCATTTTATTTTCCAGCATCATTTATTGCATATAAACGTTTAAAAGCATTTTAAAAGTATGGCACATTCTGTTAAGAGAGTCACAGAGTTGGGTTTTCTTGCCTCTAGGATATAAAGACGGGAAGTACTAACTCCTGTACTACTAGAGCAGTAATAGTTTCAGTATCTGAGGGGCAATCATGTACCCTTAAGCCATGAATGTTCACAAACTCAAAATACTTTAGAATACAGGATAATGCAGACACTTCAAACACCTGCATCATGGAATAAAGATCATACCTTGCCAAGAATAGTGTTAAGAGGCTCCTCTTCTTCCCCATATCCAGGTCCGTTCATATCCCATTGCTTGATGGTCTTGTCATCGCCGGTCTGCAGTTCATTAGAAGAACAACCCAAAAGTCAGCTTCATTCATCATCCTAAAGAGACCTTTCTAACTTTCTGTAGTCTGTAGATTTTTTGTTACAATATACCACAAACGTCAAAAAGAAATGACGACAATGAAATCGGGGTGCCGTCTGATCCAAGTGATTAGAGAACATTTTTTAAAAATGCTATGTGTTCAAAATATAAGTGTCGCAAAGGTGGGTGGGTCATGGGAGTTGGTCTACACCTCCTCATTCTCCCGTGTGCGGCTGCAGGTTTTTAGCCCCTTTAGAGTCGAGATGTAAAAAAATAAATATATAACTGGTCTTTCCAAACCAGGTGATTGCAGAAAAAATAACTGGTAATTTGATTGTTTTTTACTGACTTACTGTGAAGAATGAAGTACCGCAGAACCGTACACACATCCCTCTCACAAAGCCTTCGTGTGCTTGCAAAGTACGGACACACTCGCGCTTGGTCAAGTTCCAAATTTTTACCTGTTGACACAAATCGTAAGATGAAACCAAAAACCTACTGTTTCTCTATATAGAAAATTTAAGTACAGAAAAGGCAATTGTTTGTTAATTGTCATTCATATTTGGCAAAAGCCCACGTGTTACGAAGAATTCTCAAACAACCATACTTTCAAGATGCTACCTCATTCTGTAACAGGATGACTGAAGAAAAATACACTAACACATATATTACTATAAAAAAAACCTGGACAGGAGAAATGGGAATTTTATTTTAATACCCAGAAATCCTTTCAGAAACCAAGAAAGTGGCAGACACAAACATCGCACTGCTACTATGCTCAATCTCTGGCGGGGAAGGAGCCTGAGCTGGTGAAAGAGGTGGCAATGGTGCCAACCAGATACAGTCCATCTCTCCTCCATGCAGTGGAGGGGCTCCCAGCCGGTAACTCCAATTCAGGGCTGGCAGACTCAGGCAGTGCTTCCTGGAAGACCAGGCCGCATGTTCCAGCTATAGGGGGAATCACACTCCCTGTGCTAAGAGCTCTGGAGCGTGGACTTTGTCCATTAGGTGAGCCTTGGGACTGAGGATGAACAATGTGAATTTCATCCCAGGAGTGGCATAACTGACCTGCTCCTTGCATTCACACAGACGTTTTTGAGTTTTTGAGATTTTGCCAGTCCAGAATTCCTCTGTTTTTTTAGACCCAGCGAAGACACCCAGCGAAGACACATGAGCACATTCCTCAGGATGTCTTGTGGGAGTTTGTGCTGCCACTTCTGCCTCTTGGACTCGTGAGACCTGTGTCTGCGTTGTCCGCAATAAGTCTACTTCGTTCAAGGTGGGTGCACCATCACCACTCCTGTTCATGATTTTCATGGAGAGGATATCAAGGCGTAGCCGAGTTAGAGAGTATCCAGTCCTTGGACCTGGGGCTGGCATCCAGCCGTTTGTAGTGATGATGCCTTCTCGTCTCCCTTGACTGATCTCCAACATGCACTTAGCTTGGCACTGCTGAGTGTAAAGCTGCAGGTTTGAGGTTTGAGACGTCATGGTTGTTCTCTCCTAGAAGAATGTGAAGAGCTTTTCTCCTGGCAGAGGAGAGGTCTTGCGTTTAATAGAGCAGTTCCAGGTACAGGGACAGCGAGGTCACACTGCTGGTGTTGGCAAATGTTGCAGGGTCAATGTTGGTCGATGATGAGGAAGCAGGAGCTGAATTCTCAGACCTTGCTCTCTATGTCCCTGTCCTCAATTGTGGTCATGAAGTCTGAGTAAGTAAAAAGTAGTGGCTACAAGCAGCAGAACTGAGGTTTCATCGCAGTGCTTTTGGGCTTATTCTTGACAAAGGACAAAGGACTTGCTTATCTTCCTTGGCGGGGCAGGAAAAATGTGGGAATTTCCCAGTCGGAATGGTAATATTGAGGAACAAGATGTCTTGTCCTCCCTATTAAAAATGCTACCGCTATAACCATCACCAGAAGTGAATGCATCTCTCCCTTAAGCCAAACTCCCATTGCTATTGTCTAGGTAATTGAACACGATAAAGCCACAAGAGTTCCAGCTTTATCGAGGTTCACTTGCATGACTGGAGATTTCGTTTTATTGATATTTGAAGACAAGATTAATTTGATAAGGTTAAATAAAACGAAAAACCATCCTTTATCATACAAATGAGATGCGCTTCAAAGGTCGCTCACATTTTAAAGCAGCCGTACTGAGGTTGTTATATTCTTTCAACCATTTACCTGTAAAATAAAACTTCAGGAGCATTTTAATCGATGACTGTTTTAATACAAGGAAGCCTCTATATTGCTCATATACAGCAAAGTAAACATCAATAAATGAAGCTGAAAAGAACCACCAGAACCAAAAAATATAATAAGTAATGTATTTGCAATGCTGCTTTAATATTACTGCAGACAGCATTTTTGAATAGCATTCCTTCAAGAACCATTCAACCAAACTCATAGAGAATAGTAGGAATGCTTGCTGGTCACATATTTATTATTGATGTCCTCTTTGTAAAAACATACAGACAACCAAAAAGCCTCCATCTTAACATGTCCACATTTTCACCCACCCTTACAATGCCTGAAGCAAGTCACAAGGATCTCATGGGTTCCCTTTAGTCAAATGAACATCCTGTCGCACTCAGCACTTACCTCTCCATCACAGGCTCCTGAAAGCAGAGAGGACAGGCTCTGGGGGTGTTTGGCCATGCAGTTCACCCCATCCCTGTGCCCATCCAGGGAAGCCAGGAAAGGTTTAGCAAACACTCGCTCCAGCTTGACTGCATTCAGGGCTCGGCTGTATTCTCTCGGGACTTCAAAAGGGTGGAGAGATGGGTCATAGTTCCTTGGCACTGCAGGAGAATGGCAGAAATAAAGAGTACTAATTGACACTTAAATCAGATTTTACCCACAGCCCTGTATATTGCCAGTTTGCAAAAGGACCCTTAACAAAACTGGCCAAGAGAGTAGTCTACTTCCTCAGACAGCTGAAAACATTTGGTCTATTTTACAGGTGCGCTACTGAGAGAGTGATCACATGTGGGATTACAGTGTGGTTTGGCAGCGGGTAGTTGTCTGACTGGAAGGCGTTACAGGGGGTGATCAGGTCATCCCAGTCTATCACTGGAGTGCAGCTCCCCTCTATTTGGGACATTTTTACAACTCACTGTCTCAGGAAGGCTGGAAGTATCGTTAATCATCTTGGTTTCTCATTTTTCTGGTAACCTTTACAGGAGCATAAAGGCACGAACTTCATGATTCAGAGACAGTTTCTTCCCACAGGCTGTCAGATTACTGAACTCTACCCCTACCACTGGCTCACACTGATATTTGTTTTTAAGTTGTATGTTATTTAACTCATTGTTGCTGCTGCTGCTGCTGTTCTGTGTTTACGTTTTTGGTGTTTCCTTAATGTCTCTGTATTGGAGCATACATGCAAATAAGCATTTCATTGCACAAGTGCAGATGACAATAAACTGAACTGTCTCGATGTCGAAAAGAGCACTTACTACAAAGAAATTGATTCAGCAGAACTAAGATCATGTAATGTGTGCAGAAACAAAAGCAAAATGAATCGGGTATTCTGAAATTGCAGTCGCAATAAAACATTTGTGAACCCTTTGGAATTACCTGGATTTCTGTGTTACTTACTCATAAAAATGTGGTCTGATCTTCAACCTCAGTCACAATAATAGACAAACACAATCTGCTTAAACTAATAACACACAAACAATTGTACTTCTTCTTGTCAGTACTGAACACATCATTTAAACATTCACAGTCTAGGTTGAAAAACGTATGTGAACCTCTAGGCTAATGACTTCTCCAAAAGCTAATTGGAGTCAGGTGTTCCAATCAATGAGATGAGATGAGATTGGAGGTGCCTTGCCCTATAAAAAAAGGCACAGAAAGGTTGGTTACTGACAGAGTCTGCTCTTCTCAAGAAAGAGCTGTTCATATGAACCATGCCCTGATCAAAAGAAATATCAGAGGACCTTGGAAGAAGAATTGTAGAGATGCATAACACTAGAAAAGGCTACAAAAGCATTTCTAAAGGCCTGGATTGTTCATCAATCCACAGTAAGACAAACTGTGTACAAATGGAGGAAATTCAGTAGGAGTGGGCGTCCTGCAAAGATCATGGCAAGAGTGCATCCTGCAATGCTGAAGGAGGTGAAAAAGAACCCCAGGGTAACAGCAAAGGACCTGCAGAAATCTCTTGATCTTGCCAAAGCCTCTGTTCATGTGTCCACTATAAGAAAAACGCTGAACAAGAATGGTGTTAATAAAAGGATGCCACGGAGGAAACCACTGCTTGCCAAAAAAGCATTGCTGCACGTCTCAAGTTTGCAAAAGACCACCTGGATGTTCCACAACGCTTCTGTGACAATATTCTGTGGATGGATAAGACAAATTGTGCTCTTTGGCAGAAAGCGCAATGCTATGTTTGTTTGGAGGGGGGGAGCACTGCACTGCATTCCAAAACCTCATCCCAACTGTGAAGCATGGTGGAGGAAGTATCATGGTTTGGGGCTGTTTGGTTGAACAGCTTATCATAGAGGGAACAATGAATTCAAACTTGTATCAAGAAATTTTAGAGGAGAATATCGGTGTAGCGGTCTGTCACCTGAAGCTTAATAGAAGTTGTAGCTGCTTAGGCTGCAAAGGAACAAGTAATAGGTTTATTCCATGCTGAAAAGCGAACACCTGGACACCTGAAGAAGGCTCCACGGCCGAAATGTTTTCTTTCTTCTCTTTTCAGCGTGGAATAAACCTATTACTTGTTCTTTAATAGAAGCTGGGTGATGCAACAAGACAAGGACCCGGAACCTAGGAGTAAAGTAACAACAGAATGGCTTAAACAGAAGAACATTTGTGTTCTGGAATGGCCAAGTCTGAGTCCAGACCTCAACCCAATTGAGATGCTGTGGCATAACCTGAAGAGAGCTGGTCATGCAAGGAATCCCAGAAATATCAATGAACTGAAACAGTTTTGTAAGGAGGAATTTTAGACCATTCCTAACGGTGCAAATCTAATCAGCAGCTACAGGAAACGTTTGGTTAAGATTACTGCTGCTAAAAGAGGTTCTACCAGTTACTAAATACAAGGGTTCACATACTTTTTTTCCAGGCTGGAGTGTGAATGTTTAAACGATGTGTTCAATATTGACAAGAAGTACAATTGTTTGTGTTATTCGTTTAAGCAGATTGTGTTTGTCCATTATTCTGACTTAGTTGAAGATCAGACCACATTTTTATGAGTAATTATTAATGCAGAAATGCAGGTAATTCCAAAGGGTTCACAAACTTTTTCTTGCAACTGCCACTCAACTTTACAAATGGCTGTTCACGTACTGCCCTGGATACAGTGTCGATGAAAAATGGTTTTTCGGTGACTGTTACGGTCGTACGAATCGCCAAATATCCCGTAACTCGGGACGAAATTACTATAAACCGTTCAGTCAAGATTGCTATTAAAACGTGGATCTTGGATAAACCAAGTTCGTAGTAGCACAATGTTTCGAACATTGAGCTGATTGCTAATGAAATAACGAAAAGCGCTGTTATGATCGTTGTTTTTCTTACTCCTGTGACCCAACATCTCAAGTGGCTTATTTAAGTGTCACACTGCTTAACGCTCCTTTTTACTGTATTTTAGTCTGTGAATCTGGCATGAAGTGCCCATTAAATTCGGAACTGATCACCCTCATTAGATCAGACGGCACTAGTGGTCTCCATCATACTCTCGCCAATATTTACTACAAAAAAATTACTTTTTACACTAATATTCAACGATTTCTTACTTGCACGTTGTTTATCGGTCGATGATGTTTCTAATTTGCCCCGCACAAGCGCTGTAATTCTGATTTGCACCTCCCTCACTTTTATCATTTATTTTTTTAATTTTTCGACTGTATTTACTTTACACGCATTACTGTACATTTGGCAAGTCGATGGGGATTATAGGGATATTACAGTATGTCTGAGCCGTACACACATGGACTAGCATGGTTTTGTGGGTGGAAAAGAAAACAGTCAACGCGAGTTGCAAAACAGAAAACGTGCCCTTACCTCGCTGTATATCCTTCTTTGTTTCTCGAATATAATCATCTGGGTTTCTGCTTAGTACTTTGACCTTCATTTTGGTAGGTGATGTGCGATTAACATGAACTCTCCCGTTTTTTACGAACGAAACTTAAAGTAAAGATACACATTACTCCATCATGAACACGTGTGAAAGGTCAAGGGTCACATCCGTATTATCACGTGTTTGGTCTGTAATGTGAAGCCACGGAGGGCCATAATAACTGTGGGCAAAATGTTTTTGTTTCTTCCTTTTAGTTTTTTTTAATCGCCGTTGTTAGTTGATGAAGGAGTAAAACAAAAAAAAAAACCTTCCAAACAATTTAAATAAACCTTAGGTTGCCGGATAAAGTCACCCCGTTTGACCCCCCGTCTTCTCGTTCCTCCATCTTTACTGAGGCCGTTCGCATCAGAGAAATGACGCAACCCCTTCACCAATTGAAGAGCCGCTAGCTTCACGCAACACAGTATGTGAGGTCGTAGGTGAAAAGTCGTAAGCGAGAGCACTTGGTGTTCAAGTTCAGCTGTGTAACGTGGGTCTGGTCCGGGCGACCACGGGCTGCATGAACAGGTTGGGACAGGTGATGTCTTCTGACAGTACGTGACTGTATCGCCGAATGACGTTTAAAAGCGTTCTGCCTGACTTGCATATTATTTTACAATAGCTGCAATCAAACATGAGCCCTGCTGCGGGAGAGAGTACCGTAACGTTGTCTGATGCACCCAGTGCACCCAGTTCGCCCTTCCCGGGTAAAGTAGACCTCCAGCGGCTCTTCAGTCACGTCAGATACGAGAACCTGGTGGCCGGTCTGAGCGGAGGGGTGGTGTCGACTCTAGTGCTTCATCCGCTAGATCTTGTCAAAATCAGATTCGCAGGTAAGTGCTTTCTCTTACCACGTGGCAAGATAGACACTGTCGCCTTTTTATATGCCAAAT